GGCAATGAATAATGGAGTAAAATCCACTACTTTCCCTTTTTTTAATCCCTTTATCCCTTTTTTAATCCCCTTTTTAGCCAAAGTTAAATAGGTTGTGACTAAATGTATACACAATGCTTGTAAATGTTTCAGTCTATACACCAATTTATTTTTATATCTTTGTAAAAATAATATTCCTTCCTAAACTATGTAGTGATATGTAAATATAACTTTTACACTATCATTTTTTCATTTTCCAAATCCTTCAATAGAGTGTAAAGTTAATCTGTGTTTGTCCTCACCAGTCTATCTTGAAATGCAGAGAACCTCACACAAGCCAACAGTGCTCCTTTCCAGCTGATCAACTCCAAACTAATCTAATAATAGAGATGATGGCAAGTGAATATTGAGCAAACTTCAGGGTAGCACAATGCTGTAGAGTACCTGTATGTCTACATTTAAAATGCACAATTTAATATTTATCTCCCAATTTATCAGTCAAAATTATCAGTAGAGGCACTATTTTCAATCAAATAGTACATTTTTCTAATAACATATATTTGGATCATAGCATGAGATCTTAATAAGAAAAGAGATATAATGTGAAAGACTCTTGGTGGCTTACAATGAAATAAAAATTATAATATAAACATAAAAAATATAAATAGTAAGATTAAAACTAACAAAAAACAGCTGAGAAAAAAACAATGTACAATGGGTGTAGAAGTGGCATCTTCTTTAATCCATAGTAAATATTTTTCTTATCTCCATCATACTCATTATGGGAGGTGCCAAAAAAGCAACTCACAAATAATATATACATGTCTCTGAATAATGTTGCAGGATCCAATTTGGGTCAGTCCCCAGGATCAGAGGCAGCAGTGAAATCCCCCCTGGTTCTATCTGGCTCGCCGAACTGGTAGGGCCAGTGGCGGGAGACTCCGCCCACCCACCGGGACGTCATTACATCCCTTTTTTATCATCTGGGTATGTGCGTGCTCCCGTTCCCAAACCGGTAGCGACGGTAAGTGGATTTCACCGCTGATCAGAAGTTTATTCTTTCAAGCTTTTGGATTCAAGTTCCCATCCCAGAAAACTACTCTCTACCATAATGTAGACACTGAGGTGTATGTATGTACTGTATATATGTGTAAATGTAGAGAGAAGTTCTCTGAGGATGGGCTCCAGCATGAGTTTGAAAGCTCAGAAGATTAAACCACCTGATTCCAGTGACCGACCCAGATTGGATCCTGCAAAAAAGCAACTGTTAACTTCAGTTATAAAGAGTAAGTACTATGAATTCTTTATCTCTTAATATGGCTTGGTTCAATGTCCACCTAAAGTTCTTCTTTACTCCTCCCCAAATCAATTTTACTGGATTGTGATCCGCCCAAACACTATTTCCACCTCTAGTATATCAGTTCTTAGTTCCGGGGACATTCATATCATATCAATTCTAGACCACGATTTGTATCTATCTGAATGTGTAGTGGGTCTTTTTCAAATTTATTTCTCTCCAGAAATCCTGTATACAAATTTCCTCTATCATTAAAAAAAAACATCTTAAGTAGTCTCTTTCTTCTTTTCTTCCCTAATGTATTACTTTTATAGTCTAGTGTTTCATCCACAGTTGCATTAAAATCTCGAAGAAGGCAAATATTTTGATATTCCATTTCCAATTGTTCCTTGTGTAATGCTTGGTGAAAATTTTTTTTTGCTTATTGTTCAGTTCATATATTGCTATTATCAAAATCTTTTTTGATTAATTATTTCCACCATCAAAATTCTTCCGAAATCTGAGTATATCTGTTTAGAATCCAATGATTCTTTAATATATAAGGCTACTCCTCTTTTTGTTTTGCTGTGCTGATGTAAAATATAATTTCCCAATTTTGGGGCACTGTAAAAATCTAGTGTTGTTTCTTTAGACGTGTTTCTTGCAAACAAATTATTTCTGTGTCCACTTTTCGTAATTGTATAAATATTTTTCTTCATTTAGCAGGGGAATTTAATCAATTTATATTCCTTGAAAGAATCCAATTTCTTTTCTCCATCTTGCTTAATTATATTTGGAGTTTGGTTTCCTAATGATTCTTCTCTGTCTTTGTTCTCTCACTAGCCCCTCTTCTTCTTACAGTTTCTTACAGGAACTGGGCATGGCTAGTCTAGTGAAGAGAAGGACCAGGGGAGACATGAAGCAGTGTTCCAATATTTGAGGGGCTGCCACAGAGAGGAAGAGGTCAAACTATTTTCCAAGGCACCTGAAGGCCAGACAAGGAATAATGGATGGAAATTGAGCAAGGAGAGATTTAACCTAGAAATAAGGAGAGAATTTCTGATAGTTAGAAAAATCAACCAATGGAACAGAAGTTATGGGAGCTTCGTCTCTGGAAGCTTTTAAGAAGAGATTGGACTGCCATTTGTCAAAAATGGTGTAGGGTCTGCTTGGGTGAGGGGTTGGACTAGATGACCTACAAAGTCCCTTCCAAATCTGTTAATCTAATCTAATCTATTCTAATCTTGGTCAGTGTTTTCTTTCTCTTTGTTTTCTTCATTTTGTATCACTGTATCTAATGTTGGTTTTTCTTCCTGTTTTCTTTTGGGTTCATCATCTTCTTGTGCACCTTGTGTTTTCCCTTCAAAAATGCTTGCATGTCTCTCATAGAAATCTGCTGCCTTAAGATAGAATCCAGTCTATATCTTCTAGAGTTCCAGTTAATTAGGGTCCCCTCTGGAACCAGCCATCTAAAATTTATTCCTTTTTCATTCAGCTTTGTTGTCAAAAATTGATATTGTCTTCTTAGATCTCTTATCTTCCAGGGGATCTGTTTCTACACCGTGATTTCCTTTTTTGTATATTATAGTGGTTCTTTCCTCACTCTCTTCAATATTTCATCCCTTATTGTTCTCTTGACAAATCTAACATGGACCTCTCTGGGCACTTTGTATCTTCTTGCATAACTTGAGTTTAGCCTGTAAATTTGGTCACTCTCCTCCATTATTACAACTACCAATTTGTAAAGCATCCGCCAGCAGGTTCGTAATCACTTCCATCAAATAATCCTCTTTATCTTCAGGTATATTCTGAAATCTTATTATATATGAAGATTTCTCCATTTCTAATGTTGCTACTGCATCTTCCAGATTTTTGTTTGCCTGTGCCAATCTTTGGTTCTCTTCTTTTATTTCTTCCATCTCTCCCCCCCCACATCCATTTCTTCTGTTTTATTTTCTGAATTCTTTGTTTGTTCTTTGTAACCCTTTGTTGAAAATTTTCTATCTGGGAATATATGTTAAGGACCTGTTTATCTTGTCTATTTTTTCTTCCATCTTGTGTTGATTATTTTTTATCTCACTTTTTATCTCATCATGACTTTGTCTTATATCTTTGTGATGTGATCCTTGTGAAGCAATTGCTTCCTGAATCATCTGTAGCATTGTCTGCATTTCTTTTTGAAAGTTATTAGCTTTTTCTTGCTGGACCATTGAATCTATCAATCTCTGGTGTACAGGATTAGGAGCCCCAGAAGAAGGTGCTGAGGAGAAATTCTTTTTACCAATTTTAGTGAGATTTAAGGCACTCGTTTTTATTTCCTCCCAGCAAATGTTCAGTTCTTCATCAGCTAATAACTAATAATATATTAGCATTGTCTAATATAGCCAACTTGTCAACTTATCAAAAAGCAATTTAAATTACATCTTAAATCTTAACTATACAATTTATATTCTTTCCTTTATCTATAGGCTTATATATAGGCTCTATAGGATTTTATCCATTCCATGAAGTATTCTTCAAAGGGATAGAGAAAAAGTAGTCTTATCCAGCTTCAGAGCACGATGTTAATAATTTTTCTTTCAGAGCTTTTCTCAATAGCTTCAAGCAAGTTGCACAAGTGCAGCTAGCCCTTTCTCCTAATAGTTTGGCAGTTTCACTGGATCAAACGTGATCTACAGGATTTCCACCTCTATCGTTGCCTCTACAGGGCAACTTTAACCCCCTTGGGGACTTCTGGCAGGTTGAAATCAATCGTGGAAAGCCAAGCCCAGCTTCCTCTTGACTGTATTGCCATGACACCAAACCGGAAGTCTCTTTTAATTTAGACAAATTTTAATATTCTGTTTCAATACGATCATTTATACACTGAACAGTACTAAACATAATACTGATTCAATATTTTAATTGGCTTGGCACAATTGTTTTCACAGGACTATTTTTTTAAAATGTGTTTTGATAAAGAAAAATGAGATAAATTAAGACAAAACCTCTAACATACAATTAGTATTTGTGACAGAATAATAAACTGTTCAGAACCATAATATCAAAAAATTGTTATGGGAGCAACAAACCAGAACTTGACAATTTATCTTCAGAAGAGATAATCTGGACATCTTGCTTTTGTGCAACTCTAACAAGGGTATATATAAAGATCTGAATCACCTCTTTCCCTTTGATTTATTAAATATATCCACACATTAAATATAAAAATTAATGTTGCAGCATAGGAAAGAAGAATCTCATGGATATCTCCATATTTGCACCATTCAGGCAAAAGCAGTTTAAATGAATTTCTTTCCAAAGTAGTTAAAGTAGAATTATATATCTGTGTGACTTTCAGCTGAATTTACTGGTTAGCTTAAAGGCAGCTTGAAATGATCATCTGGAGTACATTAATCTCTATATTAGTCTATTTTTATTTCTGAAATACGAGTGTCATTGATCACATTTAGACAAATGGTAGTTCAAAGTGATTTTATTCTCAAATCCACTTTTTATTGGTTAGAAAGAAAAAATAATGGATCATGTTAAATGTTTCAGAAATATATACCATTCTAAAATATATTTGGCATCAAAATTTCACTAGTATATTTATTCAGTGGTTATTTTGGAATTTCTAAAGGAGAGACAAAAGACTTTTTTTTTTTACTATAACCATTTTAGCGGGATTTTTAAACAACCTCACCAAAGCTACATTCCTTTTTTTCTAAACTGGGTGCACATAAATGTATATCAAACAACTTACCTGACAAAAGCATAGGTTGGTGACAGTCTAGGTCTGTGTTTAGAGACATACGACCACCTTTTGCCAGTCTATCGAAGAGTAAAGTTATGTGTTTCTTCAATCTATTAGTATCCTTGGGGATACATAATTGATTAAAAAGTGTAAGAGCATGGTCTTTAGAACTCTTGGACAGACATGTTTTTAACAAATGAGAGATAGAAGCATCCACACTTTCTTCCCAACCCTGCAAAAGAATCAGAAAAATGTTTATAAATTAGATATGATTTACATAATGAATTTGGTTTATTCTGTTGGATAAAAGAACAAATTTAAAATCAGAAAAATAAAAAAAAGAAATAAATACATACACAGAACCTTTAAATATTCAAATTTGATTACCTTTAATACATTTAAAATTCCTTCTGTGTCTAATTGCACTTGGCCAAATAAAGTATTCAATTCAATTCAGTTTAATAATACTGGTTTTGCTGTTTTTCTTGGTAAACTGGTTTTTCCATTCTTTTTGTGGGAATTATTTGACATAAATAAGAATACATTTGATTCACACATTAATATATAACTCTATTACATTAGCAAACATTAAGGTATATTTTACCTGGCTAATTTTTTCTCCTGTCTTTAAAATGAAATTCTGTAACTGTCAAACTATTTTAGAGCACAAGTTCTTTGCTTTCTCAAATATGAGGCATAACTCTTCCTACAGTATATGAATCCAAGCATCCTAAAAGCAATATAATCTAAAAATATATGAACTCTGATTCATATTTCTTCACACTACATTGTTTGAAGTTTGCCTTTATCTCTGTGACACAATTTACCATGTCAAGTACTGGCTAAAACTAATTTTCATAAATAGATTAGATTTATTTTCTTTGTGGAAAAAAGGTTGAAGCCAATGCTCCAGCATAACATGGCCTTTCATTTCAATCCTTGATAATTCCTGGTTCCCCAAAACTCCTTACAGAGCTCAGAGTGCTTTATTTCGGCCTATAGAAGAGACTTAAATCCTTCAATCGTTAAAACAGAAATCCATTCTGTAGACTATTCTCTAAACCAAATATATTTTAAAAATTATTTTATGTTCTTATACAAAAACCTATCTTTGCTAGTCCAGAAAAGTTGAACATTTTACTTTCAAAAATATTGAAAGGAAATTAGAGTCCTTTTTCAGAATATTTATATGCTTCGGATGATGCTATAATCACTTGTGTGTTGTACTTTTTATATTAGCAGGCAAACCAATCTAATATCCCCCCCCCACTCTGTTTAGCAAGTGATCGGCCTGTAAAGGAGGTTGTGTATTATTTTATTAGGAAAATCAGTCAATTGATAGATATAGATAACTAAATTCTATTCCATTCTAATTGCAGTTAAGAAGCATTTGATTTAGTGGTCTTTTTATGTGTCTCTTATATTGTTTTCCTTCCTGTATTATTTGACTATGATATTGTACTGTAGTTGAATTCCGTTTTGGGAGGGAAATTTTGAGAGAAAATCTCCCAATTATTAAGAGAAAAATATTAACATAGTTAACACCTCACACAAAGTTCATATTTTGGATTTTAACCCAAACTATTTATAGGTTCAAGTTATTACTGCAAAATTGTATTTTGACAGCCAAACTCAAATCATAGTTAACAATGGCTAATATATAAAGACTACTAAAAATATTAATCACTTAAATAAATAAGCAGATGTCTCACTGTTATAAGATAGCTTTAAAAGCTAAAAAATAATGTACATGAGGAAGATTGAAACAGGTTTTTTTTTAAACTCAGTGCTAATTTTGTCATGAAAATGTGTTGTCTAGTTTAGAAGCTTTATAGCCAATCAATTTGTCTATAAGGCTTATAAAAGAATTTATCACAAATATTTTAAAAGAAAAGTAATCACCTATATACATATGTGCAAACATATAAATGTATTATTATAATTTACTATCATTTATTAAGATATTTTAATATTGAGAGAACAACTTAAGAAAATATGGACAAAATGTGATATAGGTTAGACAAAATCTATATCTTTTTCTTCATTTGTGTAACTATATTAGTCAAAAACTTTTCTCTGACTTACGTCTGTAGTTTATATGTACAAAATCAATTACCAATAAATAAACTAGTTCTATAATAGTGAAACTACATGAGTTTCAAGAATTTAGGAGGTTTATTTTTTTGATTTCAGCATTTTCTTTTTTCTCCGAATATAGCTGCCAATCCATGAATATTACAGGAGATAATTCAGAAAGGGAGAAATAGAATTGCTCTTACTTGGGCCATAGAAAGGATTTGATCTATTATCACTCCTTCTAAACAGCTGTATAATAGAGAATGCTGAGATGTATTTTTATTATTTATCATTTTAAAAGATGGGAAAGCATTAGGTTTACTCATTTCACTATTTGATTAGAAGTATACATTTCACTTCTTGATTAGAAGTATAACATTTAGAACAAATATTTCCAAATGAGGGAAAACTACATTAATTCTTTATTTATCAAAAACATAAATGCGTTTTTTCAGAGATTGGGGGTAAGATATGCACAAATCCATAGACATAGTGTCAGCTCCTCTGGAACCGCCTGTGCTCCGCCAGGCAAACATCACAGACACACAAGAAAGTTTCTCCAAAGCCTGGTTTAATTGTAGCTTACGCGGCAGTTTACAGCAGGCGCTGAAGCCCATACAGGACAAAGTCGGAGACGCTCGCTTAGTCTGTACGCAGAGTTTTATAGAGCGGCTCCATCCTCTATCCTCACAACTGCGCAGCTTTGAATTTGCTTCTTCTTCTGGTACTCTGAGCTGCGTAGGATATGATGTCATCTGCGGCTCCGTGGTTGTGCTCAAGAAGTCAGCATCGGGCGTGGGACTGGGATGTCATCTATGCCTCTCCGCTCGTAATGTAAGCCTCAAAATATCAACTGTGATCCCCCTCCTTCCGCATACCGCCCGCCACCTGATATCACCTTGTAAATATGCCTAAACGCAGTATACCCCCTCCACCGTGAGTTGTTGATGCATTCGTGTTGGAGGCTCCTTGCCTGGGATGGCGGTGTGTCGAGGGATGACTTGACACTCGACATGCAGCCTCCCCTACCAGGTCTCTTCCTGCAAATACAAAATAACAGCATATGATTATCACCCAATTATGGAATATGACCACCCGGTTTGCGCGGATACGATTTGTGGAACCGTTTCAGTAATCGTGGGGCGCTTAAATCTGTTGCTTTCACCCATGACGCATCTGTACTAGGGTATCCTTTCCAGAGTACTAGATATTTGAGTGTTCTGTGATGTATTTTAGAATGAGTATTTTTTCGACTTCATATATGTTTCCTGTTATGGGTCCTGGCCGTGTACCTGAGTCTCTTATATTAGTTGCGGGTTTTAGCAGACTACTGTGGAATACTGGATGTATTCTTTTCAGTAAAGATGGAAGTTTCAAGGACACCGTAACAGGATTTATTACTTTGGTGATAGTGAAAGGACCTATATATTTGGGGCCCAAATTTTTACTAGGTATGCGCAGTTTTATATACTTCATGGAGAGGTATACTTTTTATCCTACCCTGAATGGTGGGAAGTCTCTTCTCTTTTTATTAACTTGTTTCTTGTATGCTCGGGAAGCTTTAGTTAATGCATTCCTTATATATGGCCAGCTTTGCTTGATTTTCTCGGTCCATTCAGTGGGTTGTTTGAACCCACCGTCGGTAAGTCTAGTTCTGGGATGGCCGGAAACTCTCTCCCTGATACTACCTGGAAAGGTGTATACCTTGTACTGCTATGTACAGTATTATTATATGCTGACTCTGCAAAAGGTAATAGCTCGTACCAACTGGTCTGTTGGTACGATACATAGGACTGTAGGTATCTCTCTATCATGGCGTTTGCTTGTTCGACTGCCCCATTGGTGCTTGGATGAAATGCAGAACTGAGACTTTGTTCAGTTCCTATCTGTTTCAGGAAAGCCCTCCAGAACCGGGCGGTAAATTGGGGACCTCTATCAGATATAATCCTTTTAGGTGCACCATGGAGACGGTATATGTGTTGTACGAATAGTTTTGCCAAACGCCATACAGACGGCAATCCTTTGCAGGGAATAAAATGTGTCTGTTTAGAAAACAGATCGATGATGGTCCATATTACAGTATGTCCTTTGCTACTGGGTAATTCAACCACAAAGTCCATGGCTATTTCATCCCATGGTCTATGTGGTTCAGCCACGGTCTGTAATGTGCCGAGTGGCTTACCTGACAGTGGTTTGGCCATTATACAGACTGGATAACTTTGTACGTATTGTTCTACCTGCTTTCATAGTTGTGGCCACCAAAACTGCCGTCGAACTAGATGTAACATCTTGAGAAATCTGAAATGCCCTGCTGTCTTGACATCGTCATAAAACTTTATCTCTCAATGTGGCGGGGATGTACAATTTTCCTCCCTTCCATGTAAGCCCTCCACTTTGTGTCACTAGTTGATGGTTCGTTACTAACCAAGGGTCTGTTGTTAACTCCTTTTGTAAGTCTGCTATCCAAGCAGAAGGCACTGGTACTATATCTCTCACTTGGTGTCCCGTTTGTTGAGAAGGCATTAAGGCCTGAGTTATGTCATCTCGTTGCCTTTCGTATTGGGGCAAACGTGATAAAGCATCCACCAAGTAATTCTTCCCACCAGGTATAGATTTTAATTGAAATGTGAACCGACGGAAATATTGCGCCCACCTTATCTGTTTTGGTGACAACCTACGAAGGTGTCTAGATGGCTTCTAAGTTTCTATGGTCTGTCCATATCTCAGACTGGATGTTAGTGCCCTCCAGTAAATGCCTTCACGTCTGCAAAGCCCATTTAATAGCATAAGCCTCTTTTTCCCACATGGTCCAGTTATGTTCTGTGGGACTTAATTTTCAGGAGGCATAGGCAAATGGTTGGGAGTACCCCATGGTCGTTCCGTTGTAGAAGAACCCCTCCCACTGCTACATCGCTCGCGTCGGCTTGGATTATAAATGGCTTAGAGGTATCCGGATGCTTAAGTATCAGTTCTCTAGCAAACAGGGATTTTAAGGTCTCAAATGCCTGTTGACAGGACGATGTCCACTCTAAACCCTGCTTCGGTTTACATTTACCTACTGTAAGGGGTTTTGTCCATAGTAGGTCAGTTAACGGTAAGGCTACTTTAGCAAAAGAGGGGATAAACCTATAAAAATTCGCAAACCCTAGGAAACTC